TGCAAGAACATATAAACCCTAAAGGTGTCGTGGCTCTTCTTACATTAAGTGCAAGAACATATAAACCTAAAGGTGTGTGGCTCTTTGGACCACGTGCAAGAACATATAAACCCTAAAGGTGTCGTGGCTCTTCTTACATTAAGTGCAAGAACATATAAACCCTAAAGGTGTCGTGGCTCTTCTTACATCACGTGCAAGAACATATAAACCCTAAAGGTGTCGTGGCTCTTCTTACATCACGTGCAAGAACATATAAACCCTAAAGGTGTCGTGGCTCTTCTTACATCACGTGCAAGAACATATAAACCCTAAAGGTGTCGTGGCTCTTCTTACATCAAGTGCAAGAACATATAAACCCTAAAGGTGTCGTGGCTCTTCTTACATCACGTGCAAGAACATATAAACCCTAAAGGTGTCGTGGCTCTTCTTACATCACGTGCAGGAGAACATAAAACCCTAAAGTGTTCGGGGCTCTTCTTATCATTAAGTGCAAGAACATATAAACCCTACAGGTGTCGTGGCTCTTTTTACTTTAAGTGCAAGAACATATAAACCCTAAAGGTGTCGTGGCTCTTTTTACTTTAAGCGCAACAACATACAAACTCTAAAGGTGTCGTGGCTCTTCTTACATCAAGTGCAAGAACACATAAACCCTAAAGGTGTCGTGGCTCTTCCTACATTAAGTGCAAGAACATATAAACCTAAAGGTGCGGTGGCTCTTCTTACATTAAGTGCAAGAACATATAAACCCTACAGGTGTCGTGGCTCTTCTTACATTAAGTGCAAGAACATATAAACTCTACAGGTGTCGTGGCTCTTCTTACATTAAGTGCAAGAACATATAAACCTAAAGGTGCGGTGGCTCTTCTTACATTAAGTGCAAGAACATATAAACCCTACAGGTGTCGTGGCTCTTCTTACATTAGGTGCAAGAACATATAAACCCTAAAGGTGTCGTGGCTCTTCTTACTTTAAGCGCAACAACATACAAACTCTAAAGGTGTCGTGGCTCTTCTTACATCACGTTCAAGAACATATAAAGCCTTACTCTTCTTTTTATGCCCCAAGTGAACCTCAAAAAATTATGCCCCAAGTGAGCTCGAATTTGTGCCCAAAGTGAGCCCCTCGCCGATGTCAAGTCACGCTGACATTAGTGCTATCATGAAAGCTTAGAAGATGTAAATCTGCCACTGCCTGGCATTATGAAAATCTTATCAGCAAACTCTGAGGGTTGTTGACTATTTACTTTTGTCAGTGACAAGCAAATGACACCATGGCAAAAAATCATTTTTGGATTTTCCAGGCCCAAAATTGTCCTAAGCCTGGCACTTCGGGAACCACTTGGGTAGGGTAATGGATCTGTGTCGATCTCAGCGCAGGCAGACGCACCTTCCCCAGCTGAGACAGCTGAGGAGACAGCTGTCTCAGCTGTCTCAGCTGTCCGTGACTCGAGCGCGTCGAGTGCATCGAGTGCAACGAGTGAAACCCCGAAGTGCAACATTTTTGCCCTGTGGAACTATCCGCGCGGACCACCAATGTTTCTAAGATGCACGTTTGGTGTGGTCGGACTTTGTTTTCTTTGTCGGCGCCTGTCATGATCCGTCGTGTTTGCAATCCCGAAAGCAGAAACATTGAACTAGTCAGACTAGTCATCATTTCTGTTCTGGAGTTGTGGCCAAGTTGTGCTCAGTGTTTTGGACAGCCTTGGGAGTTTGGGAGTTTGCTTAGTTTCCTCCGGGTGTGCTGGAAATCAGACACACACACAAAGCCAGCAAGATGATATGAAGGGGATATGAGCTTAGATAGCTTAGCAAATGCTTTCCCCGTGGTCCGGGATGCTAAGGTTCATCCAAAAAAATATGGAGTCATGGATTCACTACGCAAAGGGACGCTGTCACTTTCCTTGGCTGATAAATGCGACCAACATTAGAGCAGCAGATCTGCATTTCAGTCGGAGCTATCCACCAATTGATATTGTGCACATCCGCTGTGGCTTGCCGAAGGACTGCGCACGCGACACCAACTGCTTCTGGATTCATCAACCTTTACTTGAAGATAGTTCTATCATGCTTTATCCTACCAATTATGCCGTGTAGCACCAAAAGAAATCAAACTACCAGCACAACACTTGCAAGAACGACACTTAAAGTGTTAGGCGTTTGGCTGAGTTCCAAGGCATTCATTCCGGACCTTCCTGCAGAATATGATCGTATGCCTTTGGATTACGATGCAGCAAAATCTGATGTTGTCAGGTGTGTTGCAAGAGTCAGGGTTGAGCGAGGATGGGCAATATATTAAATATCGTATGCATGCAATAAACTACATTATGATACACTATATAATGCATACAACAACGCGATATGATGTAATATGCAAGGGCATTGCAACGGCGGATTTCCGTTGCATTTGCATGACATGACATAACACCCCCAAATGTACAATTGTGACAATTGTGTGTACCATTGTGTACAGGTATGCGCTGCTCTACCACCATGGTGGTATCTATTTGGACACAGCCAGGAGCCCAGAGGACATAAGCCGACATGACGGTCACAACATCTCAAGAGTTCTCGCTCAGCAGTTCTCACCAGACATACCCCAGGTTGCCCGGACATGTTCGGACATGTTTGGATGTCCATGGGGTTGCCACTGTTTGGCACAAAATCTTTGGATTTGGAATCTGAGGACTTCCTGGTTGCAAAAGATCTATCACCAATCTTGGACCGCATCGACGACCACGACCTTGTGTCATACACGACTATTGGACAGTCTTGCCGGAACGGCACTTTTAGCTCTTTGTCAGCTTGGCTCAGCCTGATATTATAACTTAATTATATTGAACTCACGTTTTGAATTGTGCTTTGCCATTGGGAGGTATTGGCCTTTAGCTTTCCACTACAGTGATATTAGCGGTAATTATTGAATTTCTGCATGTTGGGAAAGAGATCTGAGCAGGATTCTGTAAAGGAAGCTTATGACATGAGAGGGTCCAGACCCGTCCAAGCACTGTGATTCGTTTGCGGGTGCTCGCAGCAGCCAGATGGGAAGGTTCCACTACTGAAGGAGATTATTGAAACATCCCCAAATCCACAAAGGTTCCATTTGCGGGAAAATGATCCAAGATATTTTTGGAGATTTTGGAGGAACATTTGACCGGCCAGGACATGAACAGTTTCCTGTGTCAATTGAATGCCGTCCCGTTTGCCCGGCATATGTGTGCTGAGTAGTTTACAGCATTATTTCATATTATTTCTTTGTGACAGCTCTCTCTCTCTCTCTCAACATCTCTCAACCCTCTTTGCTGCTGAGGTTCGAACTTCCTCGCAGGACGCAAGGGCAGCCAGGTGTTTGGAGCCGTTTGGGAGGCGCAAAAGCGAGCAGCATGGCAAGATTGGACAAGAATCTCTCCTTACATTTCATGGACAATTTCGGGAATGCTGAGACTTGAGAATGCTCAGAATGCTGCATGTTGCCATTTGTTGCCATTTGTTGCCTTCCCACTCAGCCGGTACTTTTTTCGAAGTGTTGGAGCCAAGGCCCTGGCTGACCATTGTGACGACCAGCTGAAGATAAATGAGAAGAAGGCCTAATGACTTTCCTCTCGCTTCTCTGAGGAAGTCATTGAAAGTCGTTAGGATTTGTACCGGGCCTGTCGAAGAAGTGCCATGGGAAAAGTCCATGGGATGCCATGGGCCGTCTCGAGTTTGCAGGGAAGGTACCTTGAGCGAAAGTGAGATTAATCGAAGATAATAGAAAAATAAGAAAGATAATAGAAAAATAAAAAAGATAATCGAAGATAATAGAAGATAATAGAAGCACATGTTGACATATGTTGACTACGCCTACGCTGCAGGTTTGCTGCCCCGATGACTTGCAGCGCCGATGCCATATCCCATGGGCTGGTATTGGCGAAAATGTTGCTCATCCAGTGTTTCCGATCTGCAGAGATGAGAATTATTGAGGACGTGCATTCCCCATGTGCTGTGTAGATCTGTGTAGGGACGTGCTGTTGGCCTTTGTGAATCTTTTTGAATGTTGCACCAACACGCGGCAACTTGGAAACCGCTGCCAAGGCTGAAAAAGCAGCTTGCAACCAAAACAAATCTTCGTCTATATTGCTTTGAAGGCGCGAAGGGTTTGTCGGACACTGGTTTGCTATGCAAATGTTGGGAGCTGGGAGGTGATGATAGCTTCGTTCCTGTAAACTTTCTGGAAGTTCTGCAAAAACATCCGCAGCTCAAGGATGCTGCTTCTTGGCTGATATATTTTTGCAGATCTGGCGGTGAGAAAGATGCACTGCATGTTGGCACATTCGGCATTCGATTTCTGTTAGATTCTTTTTGCCCTTTTGTCATCTTTTTTCAACAAGTTCAAGTTGTGTTCCAAACTCCCAAGGAGAAGGCTTTCAAGAAAAGCGGTGCTGGAAGCTCAACCTTTGACCTGAACTCACCGAAGGAGCATATATGTACACACTGTATGCAGATGCCAAATCACAGAAAAATCTAAGATGAGGCATAATGTTGCATAATGTTGCAGGGCTATGCAGGGCTACACGCCCGAGGTGCGAAACCCATCCGAGCGCATCATGTATCACCTCTTTGCCTCGTTGGGCTTCGGATCAAATTACGATGGGCCGCAACTCTTTGACCCGTCCACTTATGTGGGATTCTTGTACCGTGCCAGCCCCAGGGGCAGCGATGTCGTAAGCGGAGCGTGGATCATCGCATCGCATAACAATGCATCACACACACATATATATACACACGTAAATGTATATTATATATATATAATTGTAATTATAACATATACATATACATAGATAATAAATATAGTAGGATATAATAAAAATAACACAACATAACAATAATACAAACAATAATAATAATGATAACAATAATGATAATAATAGTAATAATAGATTATATATATTTATATATGCACCCTCCCCAAGACCTACCTTTTGTGTAGCAGATATGTTCCTGAATGCCTTGTCTTCCTTCTTATCTTATCACCTATTGTAGCACTGCATCAGGAAAGTATCTTGGGCGCATGCTCCTGGACACATCCTGCCCACAAATGTAGCTGCAGCATAGCGCTGTAACATCTATATTTGACATATTTATTTTATTATATTTAATTTAATGTTTTCTTTTTTTTAAATGTTTTCAGACATTTTTAACATATCAGCACGAATTTTATATCTATGATCTGATTCTTGCAAGGCTGCTTTTTCAATATCTTCTACAACATTTGGTATTTTTACATAACCTTTCGGATTTGCAGCAATACGATTAGGGGAATAGATGGATTTAAATTTTGTTATCTTTTTAAAACAGAGTATAGCATTATTTTTTTGATGAATATAACTTTTTGTACGGTAGTTGTTTATAATGACTACTGGTGGAATTCATGTTTACTGACTGTTCTGTAGCAATTTGAAACCTTTTAGCTTCTACCAAAGCTGAGCTTTGTGCAAGATTAGGTGATATAGTTAGTGCATCTTGAGATTTTGCATTTTTATAATGCAATTACCTTTTATATAAACCCTCCTACAATTTCATAATATTCCGTCAAGCTTTGCATAGTAAATTGACGATAATCAATCATATTCTCATTTGATGCTAATTGTCTTGGTTGTCCTTGTGAATCTACGTTATTTCCATTAGCTTTTCTTCAGCATCTACAATCTTTTTTTTGCAGAAGGGTTGACATTTTTTGCTGTAATAATTCATTTTTAAAATCTGTATAATGTAGACAGATGATTCTTAGATGATCTTGCAATTTCATTGCTTTAAATCCAGGAGTGCTTGAGTTAGATATATTATTTGTTAAATATAACTTATTTTGATGATGATAAATTAATAAGTAAAACCACAAATATCTAGATGAATGTTTAATATATTTGTCATATTATATATTGTTTTACTTTTTTTATAGTTCTTAATTTTGTGATTTATAGGTATTATAGGAGTTTCTAGCATTGGGTGAATATGTATTTTTACTTTGAAATATCCTATTTTTTATTGATTCTTTTAGCTCTATAGTCTGAGGATCTAGTTTTAAGTTAATCAAATTATTTTTCATTTTGAATATGTTTTTTCAGATTGATTTGTTTGTATTTTTAATGATAATACTCTACCATTTTTTGATGTGAACTTTGATATCATTTCAAGGCTTTTGTAGTCTCTTACCTCTTTTTCTAAACATAAATTGCGACCATTTTTTTAAAAAGAACGTTTTCTTTGCCGATCTATCTGCAACCCTTTCTAATACATTTTGTTGGGAAAGTGTTGGTTGATTTGTAGATAAAGAGATATTGCCATCGGATGAGTTCATGTATTTTACTTATTCCCCACCTGCCAGGTGAGGGTTGTTAGATTTTATCAGAGCTGTTCTCCTCCTCCTCCTCCTCCTCCGCCTCCGCATCCGCCTCCTCCACCTCCTCCGCCTCCTCCTCGCAGTCCAGATCCCAGTGGGCACTGCCGGACCTCCACCGCGAGCTCCAGATCCCAGGAGGCACTGCCGGGCCTCAACCGCGACTTCCAGATCGCAGTGGGCACTGCCGGACCTCAACGGGAAGAATGTGAGAAAAGATGTCAGATAGAATGTCAGAAGATACGCCAGATAGAATGCCGGAAAAAATGTCAGAAGATATGTCAGATAGAATGTCAGAAGATATGCCAGATAGAATGCCAGAAAGAACTTCTGAAAGAATGTCAGAAGATATGCCAGACAGAATGTCAGAAGATATGCCAGAAAGAATGTCAGAAGATATGGCAGATAGAATGTCAGAAGATACGCCAGATAGAATGCCGGAAAAAATGTCAGAAGATATGTCAGATAGAATGTCAGAAGATATGCCAGATAGAATGCCAGAAAGAACTTCTGAAAGAATGTCAGAAGATATGCCAGACAGAATGTCAGAAGATATGCCAGAAAGAATGTCAGAACATATGGCAGATAGAATGTCAGAAGATACGCCAGATAGAATGCCGGAAAAAATGTCAGAAGATATGTCAGATAGAATGTCAGAAGATATGCCAGATAGAATGCCAGAAAGAACTTCTGAAAGAATGTCATAAGATATGCCAGAAAGAATGTTCTGAATGCCACAAGATATGCCAAAAAGAATATCAGAATATATGCCAGGTAGAGTGCCAGAAAGAATGTCAGAAGATATGCCAGATAGAATGCCAGAAAGAATGTCGGAAAGAATGTCAGAAGATATGCCAGACAGAATGTCAGAAGATATGCCAGAAAGAATGTCAGAAGATATGCCAGATAGAATGTCCGAATCTATGCCAGATAGAATGCCAGAAAGAATGTCAGAAGATATGCCAGATAGAATGTCAGAAGATATGCCAGAAAGAATGTCAGAAGATATGCCAGATAGAATGTCAGAAGATATGCCAGATAAAATGCCATGAGATATGCCAGATAGAATGCCAGAAGATATGCCAGATAGAATGGCAGAAGATATACCAGATAGAATGCCAGAAGATATGCCAGATAGAATGCCAGAAGATATGCCAGATAAACTGCCAGAAGATATGCCAGAAGGTATGCCAGATAGAATGTCAGATAGAATGCCAGTAGGTATGCCAGATAAAGTGCCAGAATGTTTGCCAGATAGAATGCCAGAAGATTTGCCAGATAGAATGCCAGATAGAATGTCAGAAGATATGCCAGAAGATATGCCAGAAGATATGCCAGATAGAGTGCCAGAAGAAGTGCCAGAACAGATTGCAGAAGATATGCCAGCTAGAATGCCAGAAGATATGCCAGATAGAATGCCAGAAGATATGCCAGATAAAATGCCAGAAGGTATGTCAGATAGAATGCCAGAAGGTTTGCCAGTAACAAAATGTATAAATGTCATGGTGGGGATCATTCGAAGTGAAGTAATTATTGTTATTTTTTCTTCTTGTTTGTTAATGAAAGTACCGTTTAAGATTGCAGAAGGTTCTTTTTCAATTTATCTTACTTTATTATGATGAATCTAATTGCCTTTAGTTTTTCCCGTTATTTTGGCCAAGGTTGATTGTCTTGCTTGGACAGCAACGACAAAATAATGGGCTTTAGAATTTTCTGTTGCAGGATCAGCAAGTTTATTTGAGGAATGTCCTTAGCAGACAGGCCGATCATTTGCAAGAAATTGCAATTTCTGGTGACTAATATTATTCCAAGTATCTGGATTCAAGATTCAAGATTCAAGGCTCAGAAAAAACTTCTTCAATCCAACCTCTTTGGATTCAAGAGTCAAATTCAAGGCTCAGAAAAAACTTCTGCAATCCAACCTCTTTTGATTCAAGATCCAAGATTCAAGCATGAAGGCCTTTGGATTCAAGAATTTTTTTTGGGGTCTTGAATCTTGAATCCTACCCCCTTGGATTCAAGAAGGTTTTTTTTGGGATCTTGAATCTTGAATCCTACCCCCTTGGATTGAAGAAGGTTTTTTTGGGGATCTTGAATCTTGAATCTTGAATCCTACCCCCTTGGATTGAAGAAGTTCTTTGGGGATCTTGAATCTTGAATCCTACCCCCTTGGATTGAAGAAGTTCTTTGGGGATCTTGAATCTTGAATCTTCAATCCTACCCCCTTGGGTTCAAGAAGTCTTTTTGGGATCTTGAATCTTGAATCTTGAATCCGACCCCTTTGGGTTCAAACAGTCTTTTTGGGATCTTGAATCTTGAATCTTGAATCCGACCCCTTTGGGTTCAAAAAGTCTTTTTGGGATCTTGAATCTTGAATGTTGAATCCTACCCCCGTGGATTCAAGAAGTTTTTTTGGGATCTTGAATCTTGATCTTGAATCCTACCCCCTTGGATTCAAGAAGTCTTTTTGGGATGTTGAATCTTGAATCCTACCCCCTTGGATTCAAGAATTTTTTTTGGGATCTTGAATCTTGAATCCTACCCCCTTGGATTGAAGAAAGTTTTTTTTGGATCTTGAATCTTGAATCCTACCCCTTTGGATTGAAGAAGTTTTTTTGGGATCTTGAATCTTGAATCTTGAATCCTACCCCCTTGGATTCAAGAAGTCTTTTTGGGATCTTGAATCTTGAATCCTACCCCCTTGGATTGAAGAAGTTCTTTGGGGGTCTTGAATCTTGAATCTTCAATCCTACCCCCTTGGGTTCAAGAAGTCTTTTTGGGATCTTGAATCTTGAATCTTGAATCCGACCCCTTTGGGTTCAAACAGTCTTTTTGGGATCTTGAATCTTGAATCTTGAATCCGACCCCTTTGGGTTCAAAAAGTCTTTTTGGGATCTTGAATCTTGAATGTTGAATCCTACCCCCGTGGATTCAAGAAGTTTTTTTGGGATCTTGAATCTTGATCTTGAATCCTACCCCCTTGGATTCAAGAAGTCTTTTTGGGATGTTGAATCTTGAATCCTACCCCCTTGGATTCAAGAATTTTTTTTGGGATCTTGAATCTTGAATCCCACCCCCTTGGATTGAAGAAGGTTTTTTTTGGATCTTGAATCTTGAATCCTACCCCTTTGGATTGAAGAAGTTTTTTTTGGATCTTGAATCTTGAATCTTGGATCCGATGTACTTAAGGAAGGGTGGGATGGGAGCAAAATAGTGAAAACAATGCAATTTTTGCTCACCTGACCTAAGTTTTAGAGTTCAACATGTTAAGAAAAACATTGTAAATATCACTAAATTTGCTTGAAAGGTAGGTCTTGGGGGGGTTACCATCTATCTATCTATCTATCTATCTATCTATCTATCTATCTCTCTATCTCTATCTCTATCTCTATATCTATATCTATATCTATATATATATATATCTATATATATATAATATATGGAGAAAAATGACTGAGAATGAATAGCATAAACGATATAGACATATGGTTACAGATGAACTACTGAGCATTTATCCGTGGGTTGTGATGCTGTGATGGGCTGTGCGGGGGCATTTTTGGACGAAGCCTGTGATCGAGGCAAAAGCATCGGACATTTCACTGAAATCCCAAAGGATCCACTGGAAGACGGGCCTGGGTTCATTTGTGCAAGTGATGGTGAAATTTGTCGGTGCAATGGAAAGGCTCCTGGGCTAAAGGGCAGATAGATGCCTTATCATTTTTGAGGAGATCAAGCAAACACACACACATACATATATATATATACACATACAGACATCATTGCAATGTATATGTATATTATATATACACATACATATGAGATGTTTCATGAAATTTTGAATTTTCTGGAGGTAACCCCGACGGAAAGTAACCTGACTTTGACTCCTTTTGTTAAGTTTCGTTGCAGAACCTTAACTTCCTACTATATAATTTAATCCCTGGGTGGTACCTGGTACTCAAACTTTTGCGTCTGAATTCCGATATCTTGGTTGCACAGAGATTCTCCTCTTTTTTTTTTGGGTGTTGGAGGGTGGCCTCTCTGTGGTGCAATTGTGAAGATCAAATGATTTCACTGTGTGGGGCAATGCTGTGGGAAGGGGGAGTTTCTGGTTCCTTCTCTTCCTCTTTGCGGTGGCGTAGACACGAACCGATCTGTCATTTGATTTTCCTTGTCGTGACTGTTGTGACTGTTGTGTCATCCTGTGTGATGCGTGGATTCCAAGGTTTTCTACGGCCGACGCTGGGAGAACGAAGAACGAGGCATCAAGGCAGAGCTGAAGGCTTTGCTGAAGAAAGGTCACGCTACGCGAGAAGTGCAGGGTGAAGTGAAGTGCTCCGTGGATGTGTTTGGAGATCCAATTTTCACCATTCCGAAGCATTGTGTTTGCCAGCCGACGCCACAGACACAGGGCGAGAGTTGAAAATGCGCGTGAACTGCCGAAAGAGCCGGGCAGGTTGTCAATCAGCATTCAGCGAAATCATTTTAAAAGCCGGAAACAAGCCGGCTAGAGCGAAACAGGAGACATGTGAACACCATGCTGTCTCCATACCGTTTTCTGAAACGTTTTCTTGGTCATGCTGGGATTGTTCAACGGATCGCGCAGGTGCATGGAATGAGCCCAAGGCACGGGCCGCATGTTTCCCTCTGCGCTCCAGATATCTCCAGACCACATTGCTACCGATGCTGTCCGATGTCCGATGCGAGCTGCTGATGTCGCAATTGGATGTGAATTTCCGTGCCATAGGCCTCGAGATGACCCGTCAAGAGAAAGCTCTCCACTTATAGGCCACGCACCAAATATCGACCAACTAAAGGGCATTAAAGGGCCCACCAAAACAGATCAAGAGAGATCAAGACAGAGTCTTAATCTTGCTTGTTTGCTGGGCCTGTTGTACTCTTTGTTCCTTTGTTTTCTGTGTGGTTTGTTCCTTTTGCGGCATCCACCATGTTCATGAAAACCTCAGGTCAACAAGTGCAGGCTGGCGGAAGTGAAAGCATGGCATATGGGCATATGGTAGCCATCGCTGTGGCAAAGGGAGTCCATTTTATTGGCTTGGCTCGCGGACTCGGCTGGGTTGCAATTGCTTCCTGTAGGCCGCTTTGGAAGAGAGATCGTGGAATGTCTGGGAGAATTCAAGGCGCCATGGCTGCAATCGCAACTTGGTTAGGATAGGACTAAAGCGGACTGTTAGAGATTAACGTTACGACTTGACTCAATTTGACTCATATAATAATTATATATAATTATTATATAATATTATATATATAATATTATGTAAAGACTAAGGTTACGAAAGTGATCTAAAGTATATACTACAGAGCATGCTACTAGCGCTAGCGTTAAGTCGTATCAGCTTGTAAAAGTCGTATCGGGAGGCCGTGCGCCTGGAAAAAGTTCAATTTTGGCATCACCACAACTTTTAGTAATTGAACGATTTCATTGTTTTGGGGCCGTGCGGCTGGAAAAAGTTCATTTTTTTTATTGCATTGATTTTTAAAAAATATATTTGATCATTCTTTCAAGGGGGCAAACGCTGGTTGCTGCTTGCCTGCTACTTGCTGCTGCTTGCTGCTGCTTGCTGCTGCTTGCTGCTGCTTGCTGCTGCTTACCTGTTGCTTGACTCCTGCTTCTGCCTGTGGCTGCTTGCCTGCTGCTGCTGCTGCTTCCTCCTCCTGCTGCTGTATAATGCTTCCTCCTCCTGCTGCATGCTGATGCTGCTGCTTTGTGCTGCTGCCTGTTGCTGCTTGCCTGCTGCTGCTGCTGCTTGCCTGCTGCTTCTTGCCTGTTGCTGCTTGCCTGCTGCTGCTTGCCTGCTGCTGCTGCTGCTTGCCTGCTGCTGCTGCTGCTTCCTCCTCCTGCTGCTGCTGCTTCCTCCCCCTGCTGTTGCTGCTTCCTCCTCCTGCTGCTGTTGCTGCTTCCTCCTCCTGCTGCTGCTTTGTGCTGCTGCCTGCTGCTGCTTGCCTGCTGCTGCTGCTTCCTCCTGCTGCTGCTGCTTCCTTCTGTTGCTGCTGCTGCTGCTTCCGCCTGCTGCTGCTGCTGCTTCCTCCTCCTGCTGCTGCTTCCTGCTGCTGCTGCTGCTGCCTCCTGTTGCTACTGCTTCCTCCTGCTGCTGCTGCTGCTGCTGCTATCTGCTGCTTCCGCCTGCTGCTGCTGCTGCTTCCTCCTCCTGCTGCTGCTGCTTCCTGCTGTTGCTGCTGCCTCCTGCTGCTGCCTCCTGCTGCTGTTGCTTCCTCCTGCTGCTGCTGCCGCTCGTGCAAACATTTTGCCGAAACAGAAAATAACAGTCTCGGTCGCCTTGTTTGGTGCTGACGGGAGGTACGGGCGGGAGACACCAGCAGAGAGAGGGAATGTTTCTGGCTGGTTGGAATGAAACATTGCGGTCGCATAGCGCGGTTGTGTCGCTGTGCTCACCATCTGTGCCATCTCGCACCATCTCGCAAGACGGCGCAGGCGGTAAGACGGCGCAAGACGGAACAGACACAACAGACGGCGCAGACGGAGCACCGACAAAACCTGCCACGCTTTCCGCCCGCAATGGAATGAAGGTTTTATTCCAATTCGTAATTCCTGGGCGGATAGGACAACAAACTTCTTGAGAGCTGTCCACGACATTGATGCACATCGCGCCAGCCATAGATTTGGTTGCGGAAAACAAGGGGCCCCCATATCCTTATATCATCCTAGATCACAGCCCTGCCAATAGGATTTGCTACAGCCAACCCACTTGCATTGCAAGAAATTTGAGGCTGTACCAATAGGGGTTTGATTTGATCACGCGACGCAGGACATCAATATAATATATTCAAATCCAATAGGATTAGCTGCCGAGAATTTGTTTGTATTTCTTGTGCCCTTCAAAATCATCGCTGTGCGCAATGCTTCGGCTACTTTTAACTACATCTCCAAGTATAGATGAAGCAGGCTGTGCCATGGTGATTCTTCTTCCCTGATGTGACTTTCCACTACCTGATGTGACTTCTCCGTATCGCCGCCGTACCATGGGGATGATGTGACTTTTCCCGCCTGATGTGACTTAAGTACGGTGCTAGTAGCAATTTACTAGTAGCTAGATGTAACATGATGTAACTAGTACAGTGAAAGTTTCAAGGTCGCGGTGTCAGGGATCCTTTCCACAGTTTTTGCACATCTCCGCTGCCGCGCAGGCCTTCAGAGCTAAAAGTTCCTGAGAAGGACTGCGAAGACTCGGACTTTGGACGATTTCATCCGATTTCATCCGATTTCCATTTTTTGTCGCAGTGATCAAACACTTCGTTGCACTTCGTTCCACTCCGTTCATCTCGTTTGTCACTTCCGTCATTCGTCACAGTGCCAACGGCCGGAACTTTGTACATTCGGTACATATCGATACGATACGTTTCAAAGAAGCTTCCAGTACTTTGTCACAGAATGTCTTTCCGCACAGGTCCGATTGGTTCACTGAGATTTCTTATCCTGTGCAAGGACCATGAACGAATCTCAAGCAAAATATCAGGCTGGCCCATATTCCTGGAACATCCTGGAACACCACATTTGCCGATGTTCTGGGAATCGGAATGCATGGATATGATGGATGAATATAATGAATATGTAGTTCGACGCCCATCAGGGGTATCACAGTGTTGCTCCTTTGGACAAAGGTCTTGCTACATTAAGAGCCAGTGAAATTCACAAGCTTTTCGCCATTAGCTATGTGGTGGTGATTTGAGGAAACAAAGGTGATGTGTGAGATTGCACGAACCAAGCAAAGAAGTCCAGATTCCCAGCCCTTGCCGTGTGTGCAGAGATGCCGCGCATTAGTGCATGTCAGACATGTCAGATATACATGCAGACATTTGATGACATTTGCACATGCTCGGCATAAGATTTATGTCTAATTTATGTCCATTGTTTCAACTGCATTCAATTTTGTCATATTTTGTCATATTTTGTCATTCATGTCGTAATGTCATGGCGTCCTTTCGAAGGCAGAACTTCGGACTCCAATGATTTGGATAACGTATTGAAAGCGGAAGTGGCTATGGTAACCAGCTGGCAGGATGATGTTCGGTCACTTGAATGCAGATGCAAAATGCATCAAAATGCAAAAAGGACGCTGTTTGGATCTGTTTGGAAGCATTTGGAAACGTTTTTCGAAGTGCATGGTGACCACAGCAACAGTCCTGTGGCTGGTTCTGCTTGACATACACTTAGAGACGCTTTGGATGCGGTAGGGGTAAAGAAAGATACAGAAAGGGGATGAAAGGGGACTTGCAATATCTTGCAATTTGCAGTATGTCGAAATGACGGAGCTAACCAGTCACTGGGCAGATGGCCGCAGTCATACGACAAAAAATAGAAATTCTTAAGGCATGCAGGCTCTGGCAGGCACACCAGATTTACGATGCAAACACGCTCCAGGTTGAAGGCGTGAAGGTATTTGAAGGTGCCATAGGCATTTGTAGTTCACATTTGTCGGAGACTATTTCCCCTTGAGAACCGATGTGTCCAGGATGTATTGCAGATTGCTTTGTCAAGATTGGCGCTTTCTAGTCTGCACAACCATCCTCACCGTTTTTGCCCTCATCGGAGATGATGCGCGACTACTTCTTACGAGCAACTTGGCTGGTTCGTGGAGATGCTTCAGGTTTTCACACACACACATTATATAATATTATATACAATACATACACACGTACACACACACACACGTATGTGTATATATATATAGATATAAATCAATGCACATAATGCTTTCACGTCGTATCTCCCCTCGAGCTTAAAGCGGCAGCCACATGTGTGAGGCCGGGAAGCCGATAATTTCTTCAATATTCTCATAGTGCTGGCCTTTATGATCTTCTCCACGGAGATTGTTGCCGCGTCGTTGGGCGTTCGCGGATACTTCAACAGCTTCTTTTTCTACTTGGACCCCTGCTGTCACTGCAGTGTCCATCAACTAACCAAAGTGCCTTATGAATCTTATGAATGTGCGATTTCACTTGCCAGGACTTGATAGCAACTTCCACTATGCTTTTGGACCTGACCTGGTTTGGCAATGTCCTCTATTGCAAAGATCACTCCGACCTTAGTGACTTGGACAGGTTGGGGAGCCAAAATCAAAGAGTCGCAGGATGCACGTGGCACCGACCCCTTCGAATCGTTTTGGGTCCCGGCCCAGAAAATCGGCTGTGGCCTGACATGGCCTGACATGGCCTGACGTTTGCCCGAAATCCACGGAAATCCACGGAATTCTATGCGGGACTGCAATTTGCTGTGTTGTTTCGGCGCGTCTTTCCGCAAACTGCCAGCATACAAACTCTTGGACTCCTAGTACTCCCTGCGTCGAATTGCATTTTTGCGCTTACCTAAGACGGTGCCAAAATATGCCAAAATCACCTTTGGAACATTTTTGAACCATGTCTTAAACCTTTTCTCCGTAATTTGCAGTGTTTCGAGCCGTCAATTAAGACCGTGACAAACCGTAGAATCCGTAGAACCTTGAAAGAACCCGAAAAAAATCCCAACCTTAAATAAACCCTAAACAAACCCTAAACCAATCCTAAATTAACCATAATTAACCCTAAAGAAACCCTCAAACAACCTAAAATAAACCCTAATACAACCCTAAATAGCATCAACCATGAATTAAAGTAATCTGACATTAACCCGGAACCAAACCTAAAGAAAATCTAAATCAACTTGAAGTAAACCGTAATAGTGAAATCCCACCAGCCTAAAGTGAAGGAATCCAGAACTATTTAATTTCTGAATTATGTTCTGTTTTTTTTCTGACACCCCTTTATTTGGTTTGATTCTGGGTCTGAAATATGTCTGAACTATTTTTGATTATTTCCTAATACAACCTTAAGTAAATCCTAAACTAACCAAACACCCAATTCAACTTGGGCAACGTCCGTCCAAATAATCATATCATAATTGTATAGTTACATTGTTTTCAAAGTTAAGGCGTAGCTTTGAGCGGAAAACCAAAATCACTAAATAATACAACCAATTGCCCAATGCACACATACAAATATATATTATATATACATATATGATTGTATATGTATATATTATATATACATCTATGATTGTATATGTATATATGTATATATTATTTACAATTCTATATACATATTGTGCACAAGTACCGTAAATAATTATGATGCTATTTTCATGCCTGGCCTTCCAGCCTTGGCCTCCGACCTACTCTAGATCAGCCGCTTGCGCCACTCGAGTGGCCAGATCACTTGGTGTTCCTTCCTCGGCCACGAAACATCGGCAAAGATGAGCTCAGCTGCCGCGCACCCGATTGAACCCGATTCCATATCATAAGATTCGTAGGTGGCGCCAAACCATGCCAAACCTCTATCAAGATGGCAACACGTTCTTATATTTTTTCAATTTGTCGAAGGGTGCAGATCGAATACAGCAATTTGGTGCCGCGAAGCTCAACTGCTCCACTTCCTGGCAGGGTTTGATCCAGTGATTCGGGCAGGGTCTTGCATCATCAATCATCTTGCATCCCAACAGCAATCTCTCAGCGTTAGGGGAGGGAACAAATTTTCAAGAACATTCTTAAACTTCCCGGCGGGGTGGAAACAGCGCTAGCGGTTGTGCGATGAAAAAAAAAACTTCGCACGGCACCATAGGGCCGTAGAGATTTTATTCAAGATATGGCCGTAATTTTCCCGGGGTCTTCAAGGTGAAATTCATGAATGTAATTATTTCAATTGGTAACATTCTTTTCAGAGTGCGTGCTTTCTCCTTCAGGTGTGCAAGTCAACATGAACGGTACTGCCCCACTCCACCCGAAGGCCGCAACATAAGTACACCATAGTACACCGTGTTTAAAAGTGTGTAACCACATGCGCGGCCTGCAGATGTGCTCGATTCAAGGACCAACCAGCCAAAATAGTTTTGAGACCTTCTTGTCCAACTTGACGGACACACGTGCAAGCCGCGCTGTTCGAATCTTGCGCCTGGTCCGTTTGGGCAAGCACCTTGGCAAAACCAAGTTGGAAAACGATTGACGTACCGGCCATATCATACCATATGGACTTGTGATGACTTGTGTTTAGTTTGGACATTTGAGACATTTGAGACATTTGAATACATTTGACCGTTAGGCTGTACAAATTCTATGTGCGGAGTGCTGATCATAGCCGAGCAGAACCACTACATAGTGTGCCGCCCGGTAACCCCCTGGAGTCTCAGCCATCTGGTCATTCGCAGGACTTCAGAATCAGCGGAGCGGATTGACTTGTAAATGGATGTAAATGGAACAGTGCTGAAGCCGCAGGGCGAAGGCATCATGCAGAATGAGCTGTGTTTCAACATGTTTCAAATTGCAACCAGGGCAACCAGGGCTGGTGCGCACAACCCTGCAGGAGTGGGACTTGAACAGTGATGTGGTCAAGCCAGATGATCAGGAGGAGGATAAGGAAGGTGCTCAGGAAGAGACACGAACCTTGACTTCAAATTATACCGCATGCCTTATGTCCGTAGGATTCCGTAGGTCTTTCCAGAACAGTTTGCCACCAAAGAAAGGCAAAAAAGGTTCAAACATGTTAAAGTTGAAAAAGCATGAGAAAGCGGATGAACGCGGATTTCATGCAGGCTTTGTAAATGGGTTCCGTGTCAGTCAAAGTGTTCATTTCGCCGGCTGTGGCTGCCGCAACCTGCCTCTCATCCAGGAGTTGGAAAGAAACTTTCTGACATGACCTCTCGCCGAGTTATCATTTTGATCCTCGTTATGCTGTTCTGCCTCCTGGCACACAGGGACCAAGCACTACAAACATCTACGACGAATCTACGAACATTTCTAATAAATCATTATAAATCTCACAGTTTCCGAAGTTGGCACGGTGAGTTTGGCACAGCTTCTCCACGGGCTGGCTCTGTGAAAGCAGGACATATGATGCATCGCTGTCGCGATGTACCGACGTGTCGCGTTTTGCGGTGAGGCTCCTTCTTCTTCACTGTAGAAAGCTGGGGCAAAGAGTTTGCGCATTCTGGATCTTTGGGGCCAAACTTGATCTATGAGTGGCCGCCTTAGTTTCCAAACAGTGTCTGGAAACTGCAGTTTTTGACCTGGCTATTTATGCTATTCGTATGCCCCTGAGCTTAAGGGGACCTATCCCCAATTCCCTTCCTTGTATTTCCTTAGTTGGCACTTTGTTTGTTCAGTCCATGAAAACACCAGCATACGGTGGGGCTTTCCTACCTGGAGATGTCTTTGCTTTGGGGCCTGTTTGTGAGTTTTGTGTGATTTCTGGAATTTTCTGAGCTTAAAAGACATGACCATTTGGTTTGGGCTTAGTCTTCAGTATGGTCAGATCGATCAGTTTTGAGTGAAGCCAGGAGGTTCAACTCGAAAAGTAAAAGCAATAAGAACAGCATGGGTACGGGAAAGGTTCCAGGGAAAATTCGAGCAGCTGACAGACTCATAGAAAACCAATCGGGGTCGGAAATGCAGGCAAGCATGTAGGTTTCTGCAAAATATGAAGGACATGCAGTTTAATTATGGAATAATTCTGGTTATTATGGACTTAAAGCATGAAGAAGAGTCGTTTTGGCGAGGGAGAGACAATCTCTTTGAGCACATGAATTTATGGAAGAAAACAGCTTTTCATTAAAGGGTGGGGCAGGGTCAATTTTCGAAGAGACTTCCGAAGATATTCATGATTCATGATCAAACATGAACAACATAATTTCCTGCAAAGTGTTTTGGGAGAAGGGTCAGTTTCGGAGAATTCCACGCTGAAAGGATCGGGAAAGAACACAGGGAATTGCAAACCTCATGGGAAAATGTAATTATCGAAAAAAGTTGCTTGCAGGCAAGTTGCATGCGCTTCTCCATCCTTTTTTTTTCTATATTCATTCTGTGGCCATAGATCAAGATTGACATGGAACCGCCTGTCTTTTCCTTTCTCACTCTCTCATTCTCTCCCTCTCGCAAAAAGCCAATCACTAATTACACAATAAAGACTTGTCTGTTTTATGCCACGCAGCTGTTCCCTGCGCATAGATTGTGTGCTGCCGCTCCATAATATTCTTGTCTGCGCCGTCAACTCTGAATGGCCGAGTAGTCAACTCTTAGTACTTAGTTCGATGTATGTATAGGAACTAAGTGATGATCTAGCACCTTGAGTTATTGATTCGACTTGAATTCTCTTAGGGTCTGTGTGCCAGATGCTTCTCAGATGTTTTGCCGATGCTTTTTGACAGGCGATTTCGATCTTGGTGCCCAACATCCGCTGCTACCTGTTCGCAAGTGTAGAAAGCCGAACAGGTTGAATGCAGAAAGACTGCAACACGAAAGGCAAGTGGTAGCAAGGCCTCAAGCAGAATAACCTTCAATACAAGAGCACTGCCTAAGCACAGGCCAAGCACGGGGTGTCATTTGATGTTGTTTGACATCTACCAGCATCGCCAGTATCGCCAGTGATCAGGTTAACCCTTGGTGCTTGCGACCAGCAGCTCCAGAACAAAACCAGCCAGGCAGGCAGGAGCAGAGCCTCGTCCAAGCAGAGACAAAGAGCCTTTGAGATTCCAAGTGGCAAAAGCATATCAAAAACATGCATGTAAAAAACCTCCGAACGAAAGGACGTCCACAAGTACCAAACATAAACACACACACAAGGATATATATATATATATACACAAACATAAAGGTATAGACATGTAGAAGCACACAGATATGTAGATACACATTATGTGAATACACTTACTGTACCTCTAGATAGACATACTGTATATACATGCATAACTATACAGCGATCCATCCATGCATCCATACACTACATAACAATACATAACATGACATGACATGACATGACCTTACATTTCACTACTGTTACATTGCTGGTACATTACTGGTACATTACATTGCAGTACATTACTGGTACATTACATTACGTTACATTGCATACAGACATACGGACATTGCAAGTTCCCAACGGGCCTTGTTCTGATTCATTGTAAAACTTAGCTGAATCCCAGAAGGCTTCAAGGCTTCCGTCTATAGGAGCCTGACAAGGGTGTACGTATACATATCCTAAGTCTTTTGCGCATGCAAAACATATGTATATAGAACGCATGTGAAACGTATGTGATTTGCGTACCAAACCAATATAAAACATACATGATTACTTTGTGAAACGTATGTAATGCGTGTGTGAAGTGCATGTGCAGCGTATATGCAACGCATGTGAAAACATATGTGAAACCTCTTTGGATGCGAAACATATGCGAAACACACACACAGACATACAGACACACAGACACACAGACATCCATATCATCCATATCATGCATATCATGCAATATCATGCATACATGCATCCATACATGCACACATACAGAGCCATACAGATGCTGTGTGCTAATCTGGTTTGTTGTCCTTTCTCACTTCTTTGACCAGCACATTGTCTGCGTCTGAATCTTGAGAACCAAGGAGAGCATGGTATGAACAATACTTGCAAGGATTCATCCGGAGTCATTTGAGCAGCTTGCTTGCACAAAACGAAACCCTAAAGAACAGAGGAAGGGACTGTAGCTGCAGTGTAGTTGCGAAAATGTTGCATTTTTTCGGGGGAAAAAAGCGTCCTGCGATTCTCTGTGATTTCTATGATCTGCGTGAGAGCTCGAGACTCGCCGAATTGCCCCAAGGCGGTCCGTTTGCCTGGCGTCCAATGCTGAGAATGGCAGATCCAGAGGGTGGATTGAGGTATTTCAGTGTGGCAATAAAAGGCTGAAATGGCTGAAAGTATCCAAAAGTTTGACTTTGAATATCAAGTAATTATCATTCTAGTTTTATCATTCTAGTTCTCGGTTGATACGCAAACACACACAGAGGCAGATAGATACGATAGATAGATGGATGGAAAGGATGGATGGATGGATGGATGGATGGACGGATGGACGGATGGAAGGATGGACAGATGGACAGATGGAAAGGTAGATAGATACATAGATACATAGATAAGATAGATAAGATAGATAAGATAGATAAGATAGATAAGAGAGATAAGAGAGATAAGATAGATAAGATAGATAAGATAGATAAGATAGATAAGATAGATATGATAGATAAGATAGATAAGATAGATAAGATAGATAAGATAGATAAGATAGATAAGATAGATAAGATAGATAAGATAGATAAGATAGATAAGATAGATACGATAGATAAGATAGATAGATAGATAGATAGACAGATAGACAGATAGATAAATAGATAGACAGCTAGATAGCTAGATAGGTAGAAAGGTAGATAGGTAGATAGGTAGATAGGTAGATAGATAGATAGATAGACAGACAGACAGATAGATAGATTAGATTAGATTAGATTAGATTAGATTAGATAGATAGATAGATTAGATTAGACTAGATTAGATTAGATTAGATTAATAGATAAGATTAGATAGATAGATAGATAGATAGACAGCCAAGATAGATAAGATAGATAGATAGATAGAT